TTAAGAAAGCATTTTCTCCAAAATTTCAATTAAAATTTAAAAGAACATTTTCGTATTACAAAACGTATAATTAACAGACCAACAGTTTCGATTTTCGGGATTTTAGGCTCGAAAATCGATTTCAAGCTCATTTTTAATGTCAAAAACGTGTCAAAATGTATCTAAACCTAAAAGTTAAAATTTTCGGGTCACTATAGTTCGAAAAGTACGCAAACACCGAATGAGCCCGAAACTTCTAATTTTTGAGTTTCTACTTTAAAAATTCGATTTTTGGCTTGTTTTTCGTGACTACAAACTACAAAATCCTTCACTAGCAGACCCAAAACTCACTGTGGCTCAACTGCTCCTCTCTTGCTGATCGCCGCCACCACCAACAGCTCGATAATATGATCGTTGAGGTGTCCAGAGAGCATTTTAGCACCCAGCCATCTGAAAAAATCCAATTTTTAAAAATTCAAATTTCTAAAATTCCAAAATTCTCACTTCTTGAATAGCTGAACAGTGGATCCAAAAAATTTGTGACTCGTCGCGAACGATTGAAGGGACATCTGAAGAAGGGGCTCAGCGATGAATCTGAAAAAAGGGTTTATAGACTACAAACTACAAACTACACTCACTTCTTCTTCCACATCGCCAATCTCATCCCTTGAATCGAGCTCTCGATTCGTGATGCTCCAGAATCCTTCAATTTCTGCACGTTTTCCTCAAGAATCGACAGGATTCTATCATTGACGACTACAATTTTGAAAACGATTCCCGATTTTAAAACAAAGAGTTGATCGATGGTTGGGACAGCGCAAAGCTTATGTTCGCTGCGTAACTTCTCGGCGATCTGAAAAAGACTATAAACTACATTTTTTAACTTTAGCAGACCCAACCTTAACGTATAATGAAGATGTCAGCCTTCTGATCGCTTCCACGTCGTTTCCCCATTTTCCAGAGTATTCCAATTTGATGTGCACGGTCACTGCCGGTGAGTACAACGGAATTTTTCCGGCTTCTGGAACCACGTGGCGCCGTCGTTCTCCAGAATCTTTGCCCGAAGACGTGGCAGCAGCGAAAACCGACGGATAAGCTGGCTCACTGCCACGTATGTATCCGCTAACGCCATGAACATTGGTAATCATCAGTGGGATGCCTTTAAGACCTCTCAAAAGCATACTTAAATCTGTAAATGCCTGGAAAACGGCTTCTTGGCTCTTCTTCTCGTGCGCACGATCCGCTTCTGATGAGTTGGACGATGACGTCAGCGACCTCCACGAGAGACACGTGGCAGGGAGGTGGAACATCTTCTGGAGGACGAATTGAAGGATGGCACGTGGCACTTTGTCAGATGGCTTCTCGTTCCACACCACGCATTCACAGATACGGGTGTCGGCGAATTTACGGAGCTCGCTGGTGTCCTTCCAGAGTGTGCGGAATTCTGAAAATTTTGATTTTGGTCTGCTAATGCTGGTTCTATAGTTTGTAGTCTAGCACACCTATATTTTCATCTCGTTGTTACTCTCCTATTGGCCTGCTAATTATGAATTTGTAGTTTATAGTCTAGCTCAACAATTAGCAGACCAGTTTTCGATGTGCAAATTTGCTAATGTTTGTAACGTAGTTCGTAGTCTAGCAGGCCATAGCTATCAGAAAAATAATTGGTCTGCTAGACTACAAACTACAAGAAAATAATTAGGAGACCAACGCTTTTGGTTTTCAAATTTTCAATTTTTTAAATGAATTTTTGGGTTTTCCAGGTTCTGAAATCCTTCAAAAATGTGGAGGCAGACTACAAACTACAAAATCTGATCTAGCAGACACAAAATATTCCCTACCTTTCGCCTCATTGGTCTGTGCTGATGGTCCCACCGTCAACGGATTCTTCCAAGCCGACGTGCTTCTGAATCCAACAAGGAACGTTTTCTGGCGCTGTTGTGATGCGTATTCGCCCAACTTCCACGTGGCATGAGCTGGATCCAAAATCTCATGGATTCCCAAAAACTCGTATCTCTCCGACATGGTTTGCTCGATTCGATGCTCTAGACTTCTCAAAAACTGACAGATGACGTCACGATTATCGACAGAATCGCATCCGAATTCTCCTAGAAGCGGTGTCAACTGTGCCACGTTGATCTGAAGACGTGCCACGTGGTCGTATTGGGCGAAAACTGGCGATTTATCAATGAAAATCGGGTCGAATGTGTAGACTTGGCCTAGAAGTGGGTAACACGTGGCAAGCTCCTTTTTCATTCGAGCCATCTGATTTTTCGAGATTCTGGAGGCGATATTCAGATGCCTCCAGATGAGATTCACGTCGAAATGTTGAGAGTACTCCTCTTCCACGTCATCTTCCATCTGCTCATCGTTCACATCCAAATATTCCACGTCAGCAGACCAGGAGACTGAAAAAAAAGGCGGGAATTGTAGTTTGCAGTCTATTTAGCAGACCCAAAATTTCACATTTTTTGAGCCAAAACTCACTAAAATCTTTTAAAAAGCAGAAACTTCAAAATTTTGTAGTTTGTAGTCAATTTAGCAGACCCAAAACTTCCAAAATTTCACATTTTTGAGCCAAAACTCACTAAAATTTTTTTAAAAGCAGAAACTTTAAAATTTTGTAGTTTATAGTCTATTTAGCAGACCCAAAAATATTTAAAATTTCTAAATATTTCGGCAAAAACTCACTAAAGTCCTTAAAAAGAAAAAAATCGAAATTCTGTAGTTTGTAGTCAGCAGACCCAAAAATATCCTAAATTTTTAAATTTTTAAAGTTAAAACACACTAAAACTTTCAAAAAAAAAGCAAAAATTCGAATTTCTGTAGTTTGTAGTCTATTTAGCAGACCCAAAACTTTCAGAAAACTCACTGAAATCCTTGAATATCACACGTAAAACTGTCAAAATCTCCTGTTTCTCAGTGATCTGTCCGTTTTTGATGAGTCTGACGATACGGGCGGTTAGGACGACTGGAGAAAATTCCAGATTCAAATGACGATGTTCTAGCACTGATTGGAGAAGGTGCAAGGCGAGAAGAGCGGTTGGATGGGTCTGAAATTTTGAAATTCGTCCGAAATTAGGCCAAAATTCACCTTCATCTGCTTCTCGAGCTCTTGGACTAGCTCGAATTCCAATAAAGACCATAGCATCCGTTGATTGAACATTGGGGTGGCGTTTTCGATGCCTAGAAATAGAAAATGGAGACTACAAACTACAGAATTGGGATTAGCAGACCAACTTTTTACGTTTTTCAACTTTTTAAAAACGATTTTCCCCACCTTTAAACAGGTTTTCTCCAAAAACAGTCACCGGACGCAAATTTCCAATACTTGGGACAAATCTCTTGGTTTTTGCCAGCTCAGAAGTGTAAAAACCAATACGAACACCTGAAAAATCGATTTTTACGGCCTAATTCTTAATATTTTGCTTAATTACCACCAACAATTAAATCGGGAAAAATTGGGTCGTCCCGGTTGATTCCGCCAGCCATAAATTCAATTTTCTCGAACTTTCCGGCCAAAAATTTCGCGGCGAAGCAAAGAAAATGTGCTCGTTTCGCTGGATACGTCAGATTGAGATAGTCGCGATTTCCGAACAATTCTGATGGAATTTCCACGAAAATTTGGAGTTTTTTGGTTGCTGATATCTCGGAAATTGAGATTTTCGATGGTTTGACCCATTTGAAATCAGTCACACTTGAAGTCGTGGCACTTATTGCTTTCTGGAGATGGTGGAGCGGATGTTTAATGTCGTGTTGCGTCCAGAAGTCGAGATTTTTGTACTGAAAAGATTTTTTTTTTAATTTTTAGAAGGCTGAAAATCAAAAACCTCAATTTTCAGATCACTTTTCGCGTTTTCCAGCTCATTTTTGATATTTTTAGCTGTCTGTCGCTGTTTTTCAACTTCTTTTTTGTTGTGCTCCGGCGTAAAGTCTTCACACTGCAAGAAAATTCAATTTTTACAAAAAAACCCGAAAATCAAAAATTCTACCAAGAGTTTGAAGGCGTTGGTCATCGGAAGCACATCTTCGTTGAGCTCGTCGGTTTCCATATCTGAAATTTCATCAAAATTATGAGAAAAATCTGAGAAAATGTGAGAAAAAAGGATAAAAATAGGCGAGAAGATACTTTTATTCTTGGTGTAGATTTACGCTAAACAGAGCACAAAGCGGCATACGCGGAGTGTCGTTGCGCGGAAAAAGGGAGGGAAATTCAAATGTTAAAAAAGTTTAAAAAAGATTAAAAAAAGATTTTCAATAATAAAAAAAAGAAAAGAAGATTAATAATTTCAAAGATCTAAAAATTAGGAAGCATTGTAAAAGCTACAATTTCTGTCACTAATTAATCAAGAAACGGGTCACCGGGCACTTAACAGCTGTTCTATTGTAAACAACAGCTGAGAAAAAAGGGGGTCAGATTTGCATATTCCATTTATTTGGCCTAGTAAAAATGCTCTCTTATTGCTCACAATCTTCTATTTTCAAGTATCTGGAATTCGAGAAACGGTAAGTTTTTTTTTCAAAAATTTTTTTCAGATTTTTTTCTTTGTTTCAGCATTTTTCAAATTAAAATTCCAGCTGCCACGTGGCAAAACGATGTGATCATATTCAAAACCGTCATCGAAGCCTTCCTCTCTTCGTAGAAAACCTAAAAATCTCCAGCTTTAATGGCTATTTCCACCTAAAAATTGAAAACTACGACACGTGGATTTTTCCAGAACCTGGAAATCTGAAAATGACCTGTATTAGCCATGAAGACACGGCTATTAGTAAAGCAGGCACTAGAAGAGTGAATTGCCACGTGGCGGAGCTCTCAGCGCGAGTTTTGAAGTACTATTTAGGCCGGAAGGGCACAATTATCGGGAATTTTTATGTCAAGGTTTGTAGTTTGTAGTCAAGGAAAAATTTTGCAGACCAATTCTTTCAGGGAAACATTAAAATTCCATTTTCCATCTTCCCACTCAAAGTTTTCAATCTCCAAGTCTGCTCAGATGACAGAATTGCCACGTGGTTTCATGCTATCCGAGGAAACCGGCTTCGCCACGTGGCAATTGTGGGTCGGGCGGCGTTCGATTTGCTGGAGACGTCGGAAATTCTGAATTCTGAGAAGGTCACCATCGTTCCGTCGTCGGAGAATATTCAGAATCTCGCGTTGGCAAAAATGACGAGGAACAAGTATTTGCGGTTCGAATTCAATGATTTTCTCCGGAATTATTATAGATTATCCGAGGTTGGTCTGCTAAATACGCTACAAACTACAAAAAAAGCGAAAAGAAGTGTTTGGGTCTGCTAATGTTTGAGCTGTAGTTTGTGGGCTAGCAGGCCAACTATAAGCGAATGGGAGACGTAGAGAAAAGTGGTATAGACTACAAACTACAATTACCGATTTAGCAGACCAATTTCTTAGCGCTCGCTGTGTGTCGTGATGTTGGCCTGCTAATGTCTATGGTGTAGTTTGTAGTCTAGCATGCCAACTATGAAGAGACGCAGAGGAAAAGCGAAGCGAAAAAAGTGGCATGCTAGACTACTAACTACAATTTCAACATTAGCAGACCCAAAATCCAATTTTCTGCAGGAAATTCTCAAAATCGCGCGACAAAACCGCCCGATCGGATCGATAATTGATTACTATGTACACGATCCATTTAACAGAAGAGTCTACCCAAATTTTGCCAGAATTGTGATGGATTTAAAGGCAAAATTAAAGAAAATTGGAGAAATGTAGGTTAAATCCCTTTAAAAAAAAAGAAAAAAAAATGTTTCGATTTTTCAGAAGTGCAATTTCAATTCCGATGACAAATGGAGCCGAGCTCAACGTCTTCATTGCTGCAGAAGACACTTTTGGGAAAACGTGGATTCTGAGGATGTGTGTGATGAAGAAATTTTAGCGAACTTCAAAAATTCGTGTTAAAAATCAATAAAACTAGTTTTTTATAATTTTACACACTACAAACTACAAGCGCAACATGAGCAGGCCGATATAAGAGTGAAAAGAAGACGAACATATGGGTCTGCTACACTACAAACTACAACTTCAACATTAGCAGACCAACTTTCATTGCGCAACAGAGTTCTTGATTTGGCCTGCTAGATTAGAAATTACATGTTGAACATTAGCAGGCCAATATCAGCGCAATAACAAGGCAAAAATATGGGTCTGCTAGACTACAAACTGCAAATCAACATTAGCAGGCCCAACATAAAGGAACGCGTGTTAGACTACAAACTACAAACCAAAACATTAGCAGACCAATATCAGAGCAACAACGAGGCGAAAGTATGGATCTGCTAGGCTACAAACTACAAGATGAACATTAGCAGACCAAAAGCGATAGATTTTTGGTGGCAAATCTAGCACAAAACACAAGACTTTCGGTGATTCAGATGAGTCAAAATCGTCAATATGACTCAAAATTTCGAGAAATTCTGAATACAAAAATTGGTGACTATTTTCTAAGACACTAATAAATACATTTTCAATGGGTTACTCAGAAAAATCTCTTAATCAAACTCCGCCCACTTTTGCCACTCCATCTTTCTATATTCATTCGAAAAATATCACAGAATAATAGAGTGGAGTTGGAGCCAGATTTTTCAATTTTTAAAGATTCTTTCTGCACTAATTCGGTCATTTCCACTCAAATTTCGAATTTTCAAAAGCTCCAATTTGGCCTAATTAGCTATGCCCATGCTCTGGCTCCATATTATCCAATACACTGGATTTTTTCTGCCCAAATTACGAATTCCCTCCTAGTCTACCTAATTATCACAAGAGCCGGAAAATTATTCGGGTCCTATCGCCACGTCATGTGCGTTTTTGCACTATATTCCTTGATATACGCCTGGATTGAGGTGGCCACACAACCGGTGAGCTTAGTTTTCTGGTCTGCTAAATAGACTACAAACTACAAACTACAGGTGATGCATATCAAGGGCCCTATTTTCATCGTTTATATGGATAGCCCGCTCAAGTCTCAAATGTGGATAGGCAACGAAATCACTTGTATGTTTTGGATGACCTAGTTTTTTTTTGGATTTCTAGTCCTTCAGGCCTCTACTGTGGCTCATTCGCCCTGGTTATCTCACTTCTAGCCGCTCAATTTTTCTATAGATACGTAGCGATGTGTCGGCCAGGAATTCTTCGAAATCTGGACGGCTACAAATTGATTCTTATTTTTATCCCTTGCCTGATTTGCTTTATTTTGTGGTTCGCATTTGTATACTGGGGTATGGCGAACACCGTCGAAAAACAAGAGTTCATGAAGTGAGAAAACTCCACGTGGATTTCTAAAAATGGAAGCAATTTCAGAGAAGAGCTGAAATTTTACTATGATGAGGATTCAACAAACATCCCATTTATTGCCCCAATGTACTGGTCGATCGGAAGAAATGGAGAGAAAATTTGGAAGTTTTGGGAGTGCATGTCGTCTGTTGGCTGTGTGGTTATCATTGTAAGCTAGCTAACCTGGAAACCCAAAACTAGGCCATAAATTCCCTTTTTCAGTGCGTCTGTTTTTCTACTATTCTCTACTGCGCTTTTAATATCTATTGGTCCATGAAAAGCGCCCAATCCCACATGAGCGCCAAAACCATCGAGCTAAACCACCAGCTCTTCATTACGCTAACATTTCAGGTTTGGGTCTGCCAGAGTACAAACTACAATCTTCCCCTAAATTTTTTACAGACACTTTTGCCATTTGTCATGATGTACAGCCCAGTGGGACTGCTAATTGTGCTTCCGATTTTTGAAGTTTACGTTGGAGGAATCGCTAACTTTGTGGGCGCTAGTTTAGCGGTGTATCCGTCTTTGGAGCCGTTAATCGCAATTTTTTGCATCAAAGAATTTCGAAAAACAGTGTTGTGTAAGTATTTTGGGTCTGCTGACTACAAACTACAAGATGTTTAGGTCAAAGAAAGCGAAAAATTACGAGCAGCATTGCCAACACCCAGTCGATTGCTGTGAGCTCTATGGCGACGACAAATTACAGATAAAGTTGCACTTTTTAAAAGAAAAAAAAAAGAAAATTGCTTTAATAATTTTGCTCGTAGTTTATAATGCATTGTACGCAACTGATATTTTGATCTTGGAAAATACCGGAATTTCAACTGTTTTGCATACATTTTTTTATAAAAATTGTTTTTAATTAATTAAAAATTATTTTTTGCTGCTTTTTTTTCAATAAATTTATCAAGGATTTCAAGGTTTTCGGCTGAAAAAATGAGAAAAAAGCTGAAAATACAGCTACCGTAACCCACAATGCTCGTAATTTAAAATGCACAGTCTTCCCCGGCGCCAAACACAATTTTTCAAATGTTTTCAAATTGCAAAATCCCAAACTTTTCCCCTTTTTTCATGAATTTTCGATGAAAAAACTTTACAAAAAGGAAATTTGATGAATTTTAAATCAATCCGCCCGTCTTTTTTATAGAAATTCATTCGTCTGAAACAAAACACATGCTTCCAGAATTTTCTTTTTTTTTATTTCTCATTCGTCAGTTTTTCCCCATTTTATAGGCTTGTTTTGTCCCTCCGACCACTCTGGCTATCCATCATTTTAATTAATTCTTTTTCGTTCTCTTTTTTTCAAAGTCAACGCCGCCCCTTTTTTTCTTTCCCTCGTGATGACGTGCCGCCTGTTTTTGCCGGCCTTCTAATCGACTGAAATTCTCATTTTAGACCTCAAAAACTCGAAGAAAATGAAGTTCCTCACGTCGATTCTTGGATCCGATAGTGAGTTTTTAAAGAAAAATGGGTCTGCTAATGTTTTCAGTGTAGTTTGTAGGCTAGCATTCCGATGCGCGCGAACAACTCACAGGCCTGCTAGACTATAAACTACAATTTCAACATTAGCAGACCACTTTCTCGCTATGTGCTTTTCAGGCCATTTTTCGAGTTTTGACACACTAGAAACTAGAAAATAAACACTAGCAGACCCAAATTTTTTCACTTTTTCTCAGAAGACCGCGCCGCCAAGAAGCGCCGAAGCCTAGAAGTGAACCTGCATCGTCTCGAAGAGAAGGCGTTCCTTCTGGAAATGGAACTCGAGGAGACTCGTCGACAGAAAGTATTGATTTTCTGGATTTTTGCCTGAATCAAAAGGGGTTTTTCAGGAAAAAGTGATCAAAGAGCTGCGAAACGGCGTACCGGTGCGCCACGTGTCAACAGTGAGCGTATCGTCGACTGACTACTCGTTCAACACCGATAGTTCGAATGTATGGGAACAATTTATTAACTTTTTTGATTTTTTTTTAACAAAAAAAAAGAATTTTCAGATCACCGATCGCCATGTCGGCCTGCCATTTGACACAAGCACGCCAAAAGAGATTCCAAAGTTGCAAAAGGTGTGTAGTTTGTAGTCTAGCAGACCCATTTTCACGTGTTTTTTCTCTCTAGCACCGGCAATGAATGGGTCTGCTAGTGTTTTCTTGTCTAGCTTGTAGTCTAGCAGACCCATTTCAACTTATTTTGTCTCTTTTTTTCGCTAACTTTTAGCCATTACAGCCATCCATCGACTCAAAATCGTCGCCACCATTCGACGAGGAAGAAGAGGAGCGTCTGAAATGGTTCACCGATCGTCAGAATATGGAAAACGCGGCGTCGACGTCTGCCGGAAGCAGCTCCGAGAAGAGCTACATTGAAAAATACTAATTATTTACGATTTTTATGTATTTACCCCATCAATTTCTTGTCAAATGTTTTAAATTAACCCCATTAGATTTATATATCGCCCTAAAATTCCGAAAATTCTGAATTTTTCCAGAATTTTCTCAGAAAAAGCTCTACTAATGAAGGTTTGTTTAGACCAAATTTTTTTGTCCGAAACAACTACACCTGCCTAAAGTTTGCCATCAATCAGTTGTGTAAACAATCACAAATTAGGCATGGAAAAAGGTGACAACCTGCTGCGAGAGGGGGATCACATATCAAATGTCGGTGTTGCGTGAAGAGAATGGGTCTTCTGAATAAATAGAAGATGTTAAAATGACAGATGTGACTTTTTAGAACAGAAAAACACCTGTCAAGGGCTACAAAAATCCTCATTTCGACCAAAAAAAACCATACATTTCCGATATGCTCTTCTTTTATTTCCTTTTTCTTGTCATTTTTGCTTCATTTGGATCAACAGCACAGGTAAAAATGGGTCTGCTAGACTACAAACTACATAATTAGCAATTTTTAAAATTTGATATTCAGAAATTATCTCCTTTTTCAATTTTCAAAATAATGATTGGTCTGCTAATTATGGGATTTGTAGTCCAGCCGACCCATTTTTACCTGTG